ATAGATAGATAGATAGATAGATAGATAGATAGATAGATAGATAGATAGATAAATATTTAGATAGATAGATAGATATATAGACGGATAAAAAATAAATATATAAATAGATATGATATATAGTTAAATAGATAGGTAGACGGATAAAAAGATAGATAGATAAATAGATATGATATATTGATAGAAAAATAAGATAGATAAATAGATTGACGAACAGACAGATGGTTAGATTGAGAAGGAAGGGGGGGGGAGAGGATTAGGATGAGAGGTATATCGGAGAATGAGGGGTTGAAAGGGGAGGGGGAGGGAATGATGCAGGGTCAATGCTACGGCAACAAAATCTGTCTGCCTGTACTCATAAGGTACCCTGGAGTAAACCTAATCCTAAACCAGGATACTAGGATACTATCCCAGATTAATCAGAAATATGAGATTCTTCACCCTGGGCTAACCATGGAGAGATGTGTTAGGTTTCTTTATTTTGAATTCAATCCCATTTTGGTCGATAACTTTTTCATTTAAACACTTTCTCGGGAAAGAGAGTATAAAAGAGAAGAAAAAATATGGGAAGAAGTCGAGTTCTGATCAAAAGTCACAGTTGTTGGAAAAAGGCCCGAACTGTTAAATCAGCGTGAGGTATTAGATTCTGACGGTTTAGTATGATAGTAAGTGAAATGAAAATAAAGAACAAAGCTTTCTTCTTGTTCTATCTGTGACATCTTTGACTAAAGAATATAAATTTAAGAGTGTAGAATTGAGAATAGAACAGACCATAGATGAAACAGGTCTTCTGCGACATTACTGGTATTAACGTATGAACATGGTAGTGTAATAAATCAGTTTGAACATACCTATGCAAATTGCGTTGTACATTGTCTTTGGATCTAACTGCGCTAATCCTTTAATGCACAAAACTTGTAATGCGACCAGACTAGCTAAGTATTGTGATTAGCTTAAATACGATGATATATATCCGCATAATATTGTGAATACATAATAGAAATTAACATGTGACATATAGATTTTGGTAAATACATCAGTTAATATAGACACTCCGCTTTGATTACAGTGTTGAGAGCAATTTGAGTCCTTGTGCCTAGGTACCTGGATGCCATGGTTGCAGATGGATCAGCAAATATGTATACGTACAAAAAAATGGCAAATGGGAGGCTAATCTGGATAGCAGAGTACTAACTTTTGTAATCCATGGGATTGTGGCCGTGTGGATTGTGTCCTGGTGGAGGCATTGATCAATTAATTACTAATGTCCGTATTGACACCAATAGCTAACGAGATCGCGACCAGTAGTGGTGGCATTGATAGTTCAACGAGTTGTAGCTGTGTGGATTTTGTCCTGTTTGAATTTGATAGCAGACGGGTTGTACCTGAACTGATACAGTTCTGGACGAAGTTTTAAGAGTACGGCATTTACTACAGTAGCTATTCTAGTTTTGATTTTATGCATTTTTACTATGCAATGGGATCAAGCAAATTTATCCATGGATATATTCGACAAATTCAAAATTCAAAATTCTTCTTATTGCTTTTCCAAAAAATGAGTTGTGATTGAAAACATAAAAGAGTCTGATGTGCATCTTTTATACCTATCTTAGTAATTTATAAAAAGTCAATCAAACATGCTGGTAGGAATGAACATAAATTTGAGTATAGCTGAAATACTGTTTTATGTAAACAAAGCTGTGGGATTTGTGTATTCCTTGCTTGCTGAAGTGTATGATTTAAAGCTTTTCTTATAAATGATAGAACAACTCGGATATGAAAAAAATGGTCGAGTTAAAAGTTTGTTCTCAAATAAGTGTAAATTTTGTATTGCCATAATAAAAAATATAATTTCAAGATATAAATGCTTCGCTGAAACTAAATTGAAAATAGGTTTCCCCTTTTCCCTCATTCTTAGGTTTATAAATACATTCCTCCCTACCTACTGTACCACCTTTCAACTCAATATTCCCCCATTTAGAATTCCCCCTGCATTATATATGTTCGACTAGAAAAGCACCCAACCCCACTTTTCTTTTATCTCGTGTACCCTATTAACTCCCCCCCCCCCCCACTACAATGAACCATCAGACCCCTCTCTCATACTTTCTCAACAGAAAAATAGGATTTAATAAAATTCCATTCAGTTACACTGATGTCGATTTCATTTTTTTGAACGGAAAATACGATTTCTGTCTGAAAAGAATTAAGTACATATTGAAACCACTTCTCTCTGGGCGGAATTTGTAAACAAGAATAGATGCATCAGTGTTCGTTTAGTATCCGAGGAGGATAAAAGCATTAAATTTAGATAACTTTGATAATTCACATAATAGTTTCCTATGACCAAAATATTTCATTGATTTTTTATGTGAAAGATGGATCCCAGCTTCGACATCAGTCTTGTGTTTACATTACCGCCCAGAGACAGTGCACTGCAGTAAAAAAGATGCGCACACCTCTGAAATAACTTTCCTTGCATTATAACCTTGCCCCAAACTAAGCATTCCATGTCCGAACTGCAGTGTGATCTGCAGTACACCATTGACAGAAGAAGTATGTTTCCGATTCGTTAAACATTTTCTAGTTGTGATCTAGCTACGATTTTCTGGCCTAGCTGGCCTGGAAATCGCAGCTAATTATCACAGAAAATATTTTACGAATCGGATAATTATTGAGTTTTAGCGGAGAGAGTCTGATCTGCAGGACTACTCGTTATTTTCTAAATAACGATCAATTGAAAATAGATTGAGAAGATTCACACACACAATTTGAAAAACAATGATTCATTTATTGAACGCAATAATCTATTCTATACGTTACAATCATAGAGAATAGAATATATATTAGAGG